TCTGCAGACTGTTGAGGGTTCAGCCTCCTGATGAGTCGGTGAAACTCCGATGAAACAGTTTGTCACAGCCCCTCGTTTGTTGTCCTCTTCTCTCTCTCTGCCTACGGTTTTACCGGGCAGTTCTGTTTGTGACGATATATATATCGTCACATAGATATCAGAGCACAAAAACGAAAAAAACAAAAAAGGAAACAAAAAAGTATCAATTCATTTTTCATCTTCTTCCTTACAACTCCCCCTTTTCAGAACCTCTTGCGTACAAGGCCGCCCACGTGGATGTAGGTTGAGCGGCTGCTGCCCCCACCCCCGTGTGTCATACAGACCCACTTGCACACAGCCAAAAGGCGAAGAGGCAAAGAAAAGAGGAAGGGAACAGTCAAACATTACAGAACAGGGGGCAAACGAATCCTAGATGACAAGTCCCACATGCAGACACCGCCCCCGACAGCACAGGCCAAACGACGGGACAAACCAGCCAGGATTCAAGACACGGGAACTGTGAGATGGTTAAACGATGAGCCAGGCCATTTTCAACATAAATGAATACCAGAGAACAAATTCTACCATATCCATGCAAAGAATCTGAAGCAAAGAACACCTTATCTAAAAGAGGAAGGAAACAGCCCAAACAAAACAGAACAGGGGGCTGCAAAGCAAATCCTAAATGACAGTCCTAGATGACAAGTCCCACATGCAAACCCCGCCCCTGGCAACTACAGGCCAAACGACGGGACAAGACCAGCCAGGATGTCATACCAAAAAAAGGAGGACCCGGATGACCAGTCCCAGATGAAAGCACGGCTACCAGGATCAACCAGGCAACATCCCAAATAGCCGAACAACGGGACAAAACCAACGGGGACGCAGACAAGGCAAAAAAAGCTCCGATCCACAGTGTGACAACCAAAAAAAAGAAGAGAAGACAATCCCGGATGACGATTTCCACATACAAGCACCGCCCCGCGCTCAAAAGGCCGAACAACGGGAAACAACCAACCAGGATGCCAAAAGCCCGAATGACTGGTCCCACGTGAAAGCATCGCCATGCCCATAAAATAGCCCGAACAACGGGACCAAACCAACCGGGATACAGACAAGATCACCAAAACAAATTCTACCATATCCATAGTTAAAAAAACGGAACCATACAGTAGGTCCGTAAAACGAAATACCCCCTACAAAGGGGGAGAGCAACACAAGAAAATATGGGACGACAGGACAATGACTCAGGCTATTTTCGACGCAAATGAATTCTTGCATGCACTAACAAGAAAATCAAGAAAATATTTTCTATATATATATATATATTTGGCTGTTCCCTTGCTCTTTTCTTTGCCTCTTTKCCTTTTGGCTGTGTGCAAGTGGGTCGATATGACACACGGGGGTGGGGGCAGCCGCCGCTCCAACCTACACCTACGTGGGCGGCCTTGGACGCAAGAGGTTTTGAACAGGGGGAGTTGTAAGGAAGAAGATTAAAAAAATGAATTGATATCTTTCTTTCTTGTTTCCTTTTGTTTTTGTTTTTTTCGCTTTGGCGCTCTGATAACTTGGTGACGGTATATATTCTGTGTGCGTGTGCGTGTGTGTGTGTGTGTGTGTGTGTGCCCATTGTTGAATCACCTATGAATGCAGGATAGATAGATAGATAGATAGATAGAGAGAGAGAGAGAGAGAGAGAGAGAGAGAGAGAGAGAGAGAGAGAGAGAGAGAGAGAGAGAGAGAGGTTATGGCTTGATGAATAGAGGACCTTCATTGATTGGTTGTCGTGGAAAGAGAGGTGGTGCATGGTTCTAAAAACAGACCACATGGTCCCTGTGAGGCATGGTTTCTGGTTGCAGGTTGTTGAAGCACAACGTGCCTCATATGAAAGGTCATTCACATGGTCATGCATGTGTCGCTCACACCATTCTCCATATGAAACTTGATGTCACACCCACCACTCCATATGAAATTTCCTGTCTCGCACAATTTTTTTTTTCCCGTATGAAATTTGTTGTCATACACCTTTTTCTTTCATATGGGATTTTGTCACACACACCACTTTTTTGAAGTTTTTTCCTAACGAAATTTGCCGTCACACACCATTTTGCATATTTGTCTGTCACACACTATCACACAGCATTCACGATGAATGTGCAGAAAAGAAGATCGTCACACCTCTAACTCTACTTGCTTTGAGTTCTCTTAACCTATTTGGCGGGGTCTCAATGGATCAAGTGACCAGTTTCCCCCGTGGACTTCCAGGCAACCGTCCTCAGGACACAATACACACGATTCCACGGCCTAGAGATTGCCTGGAAGAGATTCCACGGCCCAGAGATTCCTGAGATTGCAACAAATGATGAATGAATGAACAGTGTCGACGATTTAATGCAGGAAAGAAGATCCAAACCAAGCAAGCACGTAGGACGAACAGACAGGATAGAGGAGACAGAGAAGTCACAGACGCGGCAACGTAACAGACAGACAGTATTACTGCAAATCACAGGGTTAGATATCATGCGCCTCTCTCCGACTGTGGAGCAAGAGCGGGAATTCCTCCCATATGACCTGCTATGCTCTTCAGTGGGGGGAAAGGTGGGGGGGTCAAACGGACTCAAACGCCAGATGCACAATTACCACCTGGGGCTTATGGGTGGTCGGTCGGTCGGTCAAGCGCCGTTCCCACGTGCCTTAAGTAGGGGGGCTCACAGCAGGGAAAGTCTCTCCAACGTGAAGTATGTGGCCTGGCTGGCTGGGCTCCTCTCCGTTCTACCCTCAACATGCACCAACCAACATGCCCACAAGTCACGAGGAAAAACTCTTCGCGAGGTTAACACTGTGCGGCACAGCCATACATGCACGTTGTACTCCTCCTACTGGTAACCCCCCCTGCTGCTTGGAGCTGTTTCTTTTTTCTTTTTCTTGCCTTTTTTGAAGTTTTTTCTCTTTTTTCGAAGGGTTGTGCATGTTGAGGGTAGAACGGAGAGGATCCAGGCAGCCAGGGTATCTCTGCCCCTCAGAGTGCACGTTGGAGAGGCTTTCCCTGCTGTGAGCCCCCCTACGTAAGGCACGGAAAGGTGCTTGACCACCCACGAACGCCAGGTGGTATTTGTGCATCTGGGGTTTGCTAATTAGGGGGTGTTCATTTCGGGCGGTTGAGCACACCCTGATGAGCACACCCCAGGTGCGGGTTAGGGTGGTGGGGCCCCACTGGAAGACCATTGAGTACAGTGTGGTGGTCCCCACTGTGGAGCCACCCTAATAATGCCTCTAATGGCACGTAATCCTGCGCATTAGGGTGGTGGCGATCCCCACTGGGGAGCCACCCAAACGAGCACACCCCCGATGATAATTGTAATCGTAAGGCGCCACTTGCAAGGCACACAGTACCGCCTCACAGAACCCATCCTACTTGGCCTTCAGTTGGTACTCTCTCAGAGTCTCATCCCCCTCTGGTACCTCGCCTCCCACTTTCCAGTAGCCCTACGAGCAACAAGGTCAGGCGAAGGGGATGGCTTCTGCCACGGTAGTTGGTGAGCGAGCATCGCAGCCGCTCAGTGTATAATGCAGCTCAAGAAAGAAATACTGCAGCTTAAACTGCGTGTGACAACAATAGAGAAATGGTAATCCACATTGTGTACAATGGTATCAGCTCAGCTTCCAAAATGACCGTAGCTGGCAGGCTGGGAACTTGGAACATAAGAATGAATGCCTTGGCAATTTGGGAGGGCATCTGGGTCCTGCCCAGCAGAGAAATCGAGGAGAAAATCTCCTGGGTCGGTTTCTCGGGGGGAAGAACTATGGGACCGATTGAGGTCTCTGCGAAACTGGGTCTAATGGAAGTGAAGTGTGTGTGGATGCGCATGTGCGATTTCGATAAATTAAAGAGCAAGAGAAGATGGAACATTCGAGGTTGGTGGTGTTGATAGTGACACTGTTATCTGCGTATCTGATTCCTGCCCCCCCCCCCCCCCCCCCCCCCCCCCCCCCCCCCCCCCCCCCCNCCCCCCCCCCCCCCCCCTCTCCCCCTCCCGCTTCCCCTGACAGCTGAAGGAGAAAATAGAGACGTTGAACAAGGAAAAGAAGGAAGCTTTACAGCAAGTGGCGGAGCTGAAAGGAAAGGTATGGATTGTAATTTTTGCAAAGCATGGAAATATTATTTGAGAGGAGAGGGCTCGGAAAGCAGCGCTTGTTCAGAAAGGATGTGTTGGCAAGGGATAGGGGACTGGTGAAGAATGAGAGGGTGTGGAGGCTCTTTGAAAAAAAAAGCCCTTGTTTGCGTTGAAACAGGTTGAATGAAACAGATTGGCCACAGAGGAAATTGAGGGAGGACAATTGTTATCCAAGAGGATTCAAGCTCTCAATCTGTTCATCAGTAGTTACATGTGTGTGTATTGTTCAGCCACCGGCCCCTACTGTGATGTACATCTATGTCTAAGTTGGGAAATTCAACGTGTGATGATATGCAAATTTGGGGTTTTCCCCATCTGACTGGACCTAGAGATAATCCAGTGGGGCCTGCCCCTAAGACAGATCGATTTGTCACCAGAAGCTTGTGTTAGTGAGGGAGTCGGATGCCGAAATAGAGAGCGAATGGAATAGCGACCAGCAGGCTGTTCCCAGCACATGAGTTAGAAGAAGAGGGATCGGGAGGTGTGTGTGTGTGTGTGTGTGGAGGGATGGGGGGAGGTGTGTGTGTATGTGTGTGTGGAGGGATCGGGGGAGGTGTGTGTGTGTGTGTGTGTGTGTGTGTGTGTGTGTGTGTGTCGCATTTTGTTCTTATTCAAGTTGCCGTGTGGGGAAAAAGAGTGCCTTGGTGTTTTCCATAACAGTGTGATGGTGTTGAGAATCAGCAGCAGCAGTAAGTCCTGGCCAAGGGCCTGGTTGCAGTACTTTCCATATGCCAAGTTTGGCGAGTAGGCGCCTGGTTGCACTTACTCGCCAAACTTGGTGTGAGGAAACGTGTCAGAACTTTTGCCGAGTCTCCTTTTTCAATCCGCCACCGAGTGCGGCGAGTTCCCGACCACAAAACAACTCTTTGGAGAGTGCAGTGCTTCATGAGTAGAGATCAGGCAGACAATTTTTTTTGAAAACTTTTCTGTAGAAGAAATATAGTGGCGAGTAAGTGCAACCAGTCCTACACTTCAACACGCTTCAAGTTTTTTTCACTCTCCAGAGTCTCCACACATCCGCCACGAATTGTCGCGGATGGCGAGTAGTGCAACAACTAGGCCCCAAGTGGAGTTCGTCAACTGTAAGATACAGCAGATGGAATCCAGCGCTGTCCCTGAAACCTATTATGTTGAGTCTGTTGTTTGCCCGATCCTGTAGTTACCGATCCGTGGCCGCAGTTTCTCCTCGCCGCTGTGGCCGGCCGACGCCATGACGTTACGTAGCTAACCCGCTACCCCTGCGTATACTGGCTTGGTCCTCAGTTGCCGTCAGGCACAGCGGCAGTTTAGGTTGTGTTAAAGAATTCTCTCACTTGTCATCACGGGGACTCTTAACCACAAAGCTAGTGGCCTTAATAAATCCTTGGCGGTAGAGCATCTAAACCTCCAGTCTCACAGGCCCTCTCTGCAGTTCTGACTGCATTCAGCCTAATCAGACTGTCTAATCCTCGTACATAGCACAGAGGCGTGTCTTTTCTGAAAGGCTCCCCTCAGCCATAGCCGTGGAATTTGTTATAAACAAAGTTACAAACAGTATGTGCAACGAACCCCTGTTTTTAGACCACAAATGGCTGTCATGGGTAAAGAAAGGAATATGGAGGATTAGCCACTTATGGAACGAAGAAAAAAATGATTGGGTAACGGAGCAGGACCTGGAAAGATGTTTGAAAGGTTGCCACCGAAGAGGCCTGAACCGACAGTATATCATTAATCTGATCCCTCAGGATTGGAAGGATATACTGGCACAGGAAGGGGACTGGAAAGGTGGAGACTGGGGTATCAAGGTGGAGGAAAACCCTCCGGCAAGGGCCTTTCAGTTCTCACATCCACAACAAGGGACGATTACACAAGCCGTGTTCTCCTCTTTTCCAGTTACACACGCCAGAGATGGAATGCCATCGATCTTAGACACCAATGTAGAAACTGTAGTCATGGAGAGCTTCCTGCTCAGGAAAGTAAGAGTTTTAGGGACGTGGCCGGAAAGTATATACAGATACGATACAGCAGTACGTAACTTGGAATTTGACCCAGGGGAGTGGACATGGAAACCAGACAAGAAAGCAAACGTTAACAAACGCACACCCTTACAAGACTACACGGTCAAACTAGGTTACAAACGCACACCCTTACAAGACTACACGGTCAAACTAGGTTACAAACTAATGTTAAAAACAAAAGACCCAGAACCGGTTATCAAATCCAGGTGGCAAAGACTGGTAGGTCAGGATGCCGACAGCATCACGCGAATCCCGTGGAAAACCTACAAAGCAATCAGACCTATCAAAATCAGAAGCTTCCAATGGCTAATTACATACGCAGCCCTGCCAGTCAATCAATGGTTACACATCAGGCGGAAAGGTTCCAACCCAGACAGCTCTGACACATGTAAGGTGTGCACGGAGAACGTAACCGAAGACATAACACATTGCTTACTTCACTGTAGAGAGGCGAAAAAGTGTTGGGCAAAAGCCGTGACCCTCTGGAATTCCCTTCTATCTATCCCCTTCCCAGAAAAACCCATCCAACTCTCCCTTATTATTAACATTCCCCAACAACTCCGGAAAGTGGAAAAAGTATGGTTCGGGATGATCAGGAAAGTGACCCTCTGGATCATATGGAAGGAGAGATGCAGCAGAACGATCGAAGAAACATCTAATACTCCTGAAACGATTTGGGTGGAGACGAAAACAATGATTCAGGCGGAGATCCTGTGCAGATGGCGGAAAATCAAACAGTCTTGGTCTGAAGATGAGGAGCAACGAAACAAAGCCAGACGGAATTTCAGCAAAATCTGGCTGATCGACGACAAAGTGGCTGAACTGAGGGATGACAACACACGCTGGAAGGACTGGCATAACTCGACTGCAAGAGGAGAGGAGGGGCAACAGAGTACAATACAGGGTCAAGGCGCCCCACTGTCAGAGTCATAAAGAGGCAACAAGACAGGAAGGAGGGAACCGAGGGTGTACATTTTGGACAAAGATCGGGGCATCCGGTCGGTTTCTTGAGGGACAACAGCGACAGACTTAGGAGAATTATTTTCTATCGGGAACTTCAATCAACGTCAAACCAGGACAGCATCTAGACCTAGGGTTTAGGGTTTTAAGGTTAAGACAGGAACAATGGTAATGCTGTCATAGAGCCAAAATGGTGTTTATTAGACGCATATATGGTCCAGGATGCTCTAGTATAATCACGGATACCTGACAGCGACTCAGCTGAGAGGAGCAATTCCGGGAACAGACAGATTGACAGCTAAGCAGTATAGGCTAAATTAGGCAGGGGTGAGAGGTGGTACATCCTTCCTCAAGGAAGTAATCAATGCTGCCCACTCGGACCTCTCAACCATAATGGGGAGGAGCGTGCGCGAGTCCTTTATGTATTCTATATTGACTTGCTGGGGGAATAGGAACCGGACTGTCGCTCCCCAGAATGGTAGGAGCCAGAACCTTGAGGTTCTGTTTAAACAAACAAACAAACAAACAAACAAACAAACAAACAAACAAACAAACAAACAGTATGTGCAGTAGAGTTTCCAACAGTTAAGAGTTTACACTTTGTTCGTGCTCCTCGTGCAAACAGCTCATGTGATAGATCTTCAGGGAGTCATATGGACGCAATGAGGGCTAGGGGCTATACCCTTCTCAAACACTGAAAAAAGAATTTGCAGTGTCTATGACTCTATGGTAGTTTGTGGAAAAAAAAAAGGAAAAAAAGAAGAGAGGTAGTTATGGCAGATTGCTCAAGGAGTTCCTGATGTCGAAGATGGGAGTTGCGAAAACAAACTGAACTGTGAAAAACAGAAAGCATGGCAAACGGACACCAGGGCCAGACACAGCAACTGGCTTCACCATGAACAAGGGAAGTCAAAGCTTAGAAAGGCGAAGGTCAAGAGTGGAGTGCAAGCAAAGGATCACAGGTTAAGACAGAATCGCAAACGGCTGACCATAGCAAGAAGCAAGGCAACTTTGGAGACTAATGGCATTGAGATGGAAGGGAAGGGTTCACAGCGAAGGACCATTGGAGACTATTGGCAATGAGAAGAAAAGGAAGATTTCAGGTAAGGATACTACAAATGAATGAGTCTGCAAAGTAAGCAGACCTCTAGAGGAATACAGGTAGGTTTAAAGGTTTAAGGAAGTAGGGTTTTGGGTTTAAGGAGATAACACTCGGAAAACATTGCCGGAAAGAGAGATTCAAGCTTCATCTGGCAAAAGTCAAGGGAATACAAATGTGGTTATGGCATAGGGGAACAATAGGGACCACATTCCAATACAAGGAGGGTGCTAAGGTAGTTTCTTCATATTCACGAGTTATATGACAGGTTACTATGGGTAATCTGAGAGGAAAGGACATAGAAAACAGGGGAGACAATACCAGTCTTTCTAGAAATTCATGTATGACATGGCAGGCTCTTAAGGAAAGGTCTGAGAGGAAAGAATATGCCGGGTTTACGAGTTAAACTGCTGGATGATGTAGAATAGGCTAACTTAGGCAGGGGGGAGGGGTGGTATATCCTTCCTTATGGAAGTAATCAATGCCGCCCACTCAGACCTTCCACCCATCATGGGGAGGAGCGTGGGTGAGTACATTTTGTAATCAATTATGACTTGCCGGGGGAATAGGAACCGGACTGTTGCTCCCCAGAATGGCAGGAGCCAGAACCGACAGGTTCTGTTTTTTCAAAAAAGAAAAAAGAAAAAAAAAAAAAGCCTGAGGAAGGTAGAAGAAAGGGGCAGAGATGCAAGAGAAGATTAATTGGCATATGCCCCCACGCAATGACGACACACGTAAATCGGGAAATGCTCCGAAAAAAGAAAAGAAAAAGAGAAGAGATGGAACGATGTGGACCCTGAGCTCACTGTTCCTCCTGGGAACGCGAACTGTTTGCCGGTTGCTGTGTTTGCAGAATGCAAAGTTGAAGCAGGAGCGCACGGTACTGGTCAATAATCTGTCAAGCATTTTCAAGGTATTTCAAGTTTCAACCAGTTACCATTACAAAAAAAAAATTGTGGCGTTCTGCGGGCCATGCGTTAAAAAAATTGGAACGATACAGAGAAAGAAGATTAGCATGGCCCCTGTGCAAGGATGATGACACGCATAAATTGAGAAAAATGGTCCAATTTTTATTGGAAAAAAAAACAAACAAATCGTGGAGTATCAGCGACGGTGGAAGTCAGACTAGCATCCAACTTCAAAAGTAAGACATGCCCCATCAAGAGAATGGACTCAATGGAGTCATCTACAACCGAGAAAAAAAAAAAGAAGAAGAAAACAAACAAAAAAAAGAAAAGAAAAGAAAAAGAAGAAAAGAGTAAGGCATGCAGGCTAACTGAGGCAGGGGTGAGGGGTGTTACATCCTCCCGTCGGGAAGTAATCAATGCCGTCCACTCGGGCCTCTCAACCGTAGTATTGGGGAGGAGCATGTGTGAGTGTCTATGGTATGGTAATCTCTGTCTGACTTGCCGGTGGCATAGGAACCGGACTGATGCTTCCCAGAATGGAAAGGAGCCAGAACCACAAGGTTCTGTTTTTTTTTCTTCTTTTTTTTAATGCAAAATAAAAAGAAATCATGGAGTATATTGTTTGTGGTGCCTTGAATTGTTGCACCCTTGCGGGCAGCCCTGTCCCAATCACTGACTACATGGACTGACTGGTGGAGTCTGGTGCTAGGTAGTGTGCGGACCAGTTTGATTCGGCGGGTGGGCCTGAATTYCGGGATTGGATGCATTTCTCCTGCCCCAATTTTTTTTTTTTTTTTTTTTTTTTTGCAACAGGTAATTTTYTTCTGCATGGGTAGTAATAACCGTAGTATGTTTATTGCGATTTTGTATTTCTGCATGACTGGAACAGCCGATCTGTGACGATCAAAGGGTAGATACAACGACTTGCAATGATGCCTTCGGCGCTGTTGTCCATCTGCCTCTGGGTGTAAGCATCTTCTTTTTTTTTTTTTCGAAACAAAAGGCTCCAATCTATTCATGGGGAGCATAACGTGCGGAGAAACGGGCTCAGCGTCCCTTCTGTACAACATTGTTGGAGTCTGAAGGTCTGTTAAGAGTCCTAAGACTGAGAGCATGAGAAAACAGGTATGAGCATGAGACATATTAAGCATGACCACAGTGCTCAACTTGTGGCGAATGAGCTTCTCATCTCAGTCAGTTAAATGCAGATGAGCATGTGCTGGCAAGCTGGCCCACAAGCCCGTCATCAATAGATATGTACTCTGGAGTTGGACAATAGATATGAAGTATTATGAACTCTGGAGTTGAGAATAGGCATATGGACTCTGAAGTTTAGAATAGGCATATGAACTCTGGAGTTGAGAATAGGCATATGGACTCTGGAGTTTGAGAATAGGCATATGGACTCAGCTAGAAAAATGCACAAAAGGAGTCGAGAATAGGCATATGTGCTCTGGAGTTGAGAATAGGCATATGGACTCTGGAGTTGAGAAGAGGCATATGGACTCTGGAGTTGGGAATAGGCATATGGACTCTGGAGTTGAGAATAGGCATATGGACTCTGGAGTTGGAGAATAGGCATAGTCATTGAGGAGGGGGAGAGTGCATATTCAATGCGAGGGAGGTGGATATTCATTGAGAAGGGGGAGAGTGTACGTTCAGTGGCTGGAAATTTCGGATGGCTGCAAGATCTGCCCACAGCTAGAAAAATGCACAAAAGGGGTGGTTGGTTGTTTTAGGGCTCTTGTGTGTGTACTGTTGTTGCAGACAGGCTTGGTGTTGCTGGAGGGCGTTGCATTTGTCCTGTTAAGCATGCAGTGCCGTGCACCCTTGGCTAATGACTGTCGTTCGTGGTGTGCTTTTTCTCGTGGTCGTGATTTCGATCTCTTGTGTTTTTGACCAGACAGCGCAGTTAGAAATCAAGCGGAAAGATATGTTCATCAAGGAGCTTCGAGAGGAGTAAGTTTGGTTCCACTAAAGTGTGTTTGTGTGGCTTTCCATGGAGAGGATAATACGGAGCAAAGCAGAAGGGTGTGATTCTGAAGGAATGCTGATTTATTTTTTGAAAATTTTTCATAAAATCAATCCATGTGTTGAATCCAGTCTGTACCAGCAGATCTCTGGCTTTTCCGCGCTCGCACTGCAGTTCTTTCTTTGGCCTTATGGTAGAAGCTTGAATGAGGACTCTTTTCGGTTCTCCAACAGAATTAGTAATAGCCTGAATGAACTGAAGAGTGCTCTCTCCTGACAACACAGACTAATGCAGGGTCTTGGTCAACGGTCGTGGTCAACGGTCTTGGTCAATGCTGAAATGAGGACCCTTCCGTTCTGAGTGAGAATTAGTAATAGCCTGAGAAAGACGCTGCTATTATTCATTCTCACTGAGAACGGAACAAAGCAGGAGCTTGGATCAGAAGGTGTAGAAGAATGCAGGGTCTGTGTTGTCAGGAGAGAGAGCACTCTTCAGTTCTCCAACAGAATTAGTAATAGCCTGAAAATGAGGGCTCGTTGGGACTCACAAAATGCCAAGGGAAGAGAGAGAGAGAGAGAGAGAGAGAGAGAGAGAGAGAGAGAGAGAGAGAGAGAGAGAGAGAGAGAGAGAGAGAGAGAGAGAGAGAGAGA